ATCTCCTAGAGAGCTTTAATAACATATGGCAGCTAGGTCCTACTCAAATCCCCCAACCCCTCTAGATTAAGCATTCTCCAAGATTTATCCACAATAGTTACCTCCCTCTGTAATGCTGTCAAAACCTCAAAGTCCAACTGGGGTAGTCAGTTCATTATTGAACATAACCACAGATATCATTATTTGATAGAATTTTTTCTTCAGTTCTGCAATACATTGTGATGCAAAGCCATATGGCAGTCTACCTTAGCCAAATATTTTCATCTATTCTCAGATGAATCTAGCAGTAAATCTGATTTCAGTGAAGAATATGAATATTTCTGCAGAGGATTCACAATGGTGATTTGGTTCACTTGTGAAGTACAGAACAAAGTGCCTCTCAAAAGGTATAGTAGCAGTGTGTTCTAATTAAATAAGATACATGTCAATTTATGCAGTTACTTCTTGGTTGTTTGGCATGTGTACATTATAAGTATAGTTCATAGAGATGAAGAGATGGGATCAAATATTTTCAATATATAACTATTTGTTAAATGCAAGGTATTTAAATAAAATTATTAGAGTATGACAAAATAAATATACTCAGCCCAGCACAGTTTTCTTCCCTTTTGCTTTATTTTATAGTACATAATGGCACAAAAGAGACCTCAAGATTTACAAAAAATAGCGTAAGGATACACATGAGTTTCTTTTTCTCAGATAAATTTATGGTTCTGTAATGATGGTCTATTGGAAAACTAATGAAGCCCCTTTTTCAATAACAGTTTGCTAATATAATGTCTCATTATTTGCAAATAGAATGTCTCAAGAATGTGTTAAGATCTATTTATATGTATAGAAATGTGTGTTTTTAATGCTTCCTTATATCCAAATGAAATCATTAAATATACTTAATGTTTCCATGAGCTATCTGATTAACAACTGCAGTCAAATATGTTGGAGAAAATTATCTTTGAAGGTTTTTCATCACTGGTTTAATTAACATACAGTAGACAGAAAGCAAACAATCTGTTCATCCAGACTCCTCAGCAAGCCTTCCTGTTGCCCGTGTTTTCACTACAGCTGGGAAGGGAAAAATTGCATCCCATCTATCCCTTTGTCTTGCTTCTGAATGATTCATTTTGGTGCTGATTTAAAGAGTAATTTGAAATATTTTTATGTGGTTGAAAAACAGGGAAAAGCAGAAAACTAATTTACAATATAGGTAACCAAGCTGTTTTTTTTTTCCTGATTTTTCTCCTTATTTCTGTCAAAAATCCATTTTGACTTGTTTTATCTTCTCAAAAAAAGCCATTCCCAAATGGGATCGAATCTACACCAATTTCATATTTCAGTCTTGATGAACCATGTACACTGAATTATGAACACAGAGTAACATTTCCTCTACCCATGATCCAGAAGCCTGGCCTATTCATAACATAACCAGGAACACAGAATTAGGTTTAAAATGGCAACCCAAAGGATGTTCACAGAGGCCAGGCCTTACATTCAGAAATTTTCTCATTAGCAAATCTCCCAGGCCCTTCCTGAGATCCTGTTTATTCTTTGTAAACACAATTAGAGGGAGCAAACAATTGGTTTCAGAGTTTGTCATTGCAGATTTTAGGAGGAGCAAACATGTGGATGATAGATGGAATCCAACAGACCCCTGGGACAGCTGTCAGTGGGAGAGCTATGCAAGCAAGGTTTGTCACTGTATGGTGCAGGCACCTGTGAAAATGTCACACTGAACCCCATTAGTATGTACAATTAATATATGTTAATGACAATAAAATAATTTAAAAATTAAATAGTGAGAATAAAAAAGAAATCAGAAACTATTGTTAAACAATGGGAGACAAAAGAAGCCTACAGGAGTCTGGACAACTTCACAAGTGCTAGTGTAAGCATGTCTGTCTCTCTTATACAAGAGTTCTGTCTGATAAATTCACCAGCCCCAGTAATCCTGCTAAAGATTGAGTATAGATATTTACTTGAAAAACAAGAGTTTAATACAGGAATTATACTTCTTGGATTTCAACCTACATGGGAAATAAGAATAACATCATTCCTAAGTTTTGAAGCATCTTTGTAGTTGTTGTTTCGAGAAAATGGACAGGGAGAAAAATGAAACGGAGGATTTGAGAAACTTGAGAAATAGAATCCTATTTCTCCTCCACAGTTAGTTATTCTGTCTGCTGCTGCTCAGGCCAGGATCCCAGGACTGAGGTGAGGTCAATGGACCTAGCGAGCGTTGTGGAAAGAACGGAATGGATCTACATTACACATACACCAAAAGAAAATGGTAGAATTACTATCAGAAAAGAGAAAATAGCATCTATTTAAAAGAAACTGAAAGGGTAAGAGTGGTGACACATGTCTGAGAGGTCCCAGCTAATCAGGAGGATGAGGTAGGAGGAGCTCTTGAACCCAGGAATTCAAAACCAGCCTAGGCAACATAGTGAGGCCCCATCTGGAATGGAAGGAAAGAAGGAAAGAAGGAAGGAAGGAAGGAAGGAAGGAAGGAAGAAAATTATTTAAATGAAATAAAGAAACCAAGAGTTATATTGAAATTCTTTATTTGAAGATTTTTAATGAAGACAAATATTCTTGAGATTTAGGTATATTTTCATTTGATTTATATATTAGAGGTCTGACATGCTCCTTATTGAAGTGCTCCTGTATACCTGTGTGTATTTTTTTTTAATTCAGTTTTCTTTCTGGTGCATTTTAATTCAGTTAGAGTGTTATGTCCCTTACTATTTCTTTCTTTCTTTTTTTTGATACCAGGGATTGAACTCGGGGGTACTTAACCACTGAGCCACATTCCAGCCCTATTTTGTATTTTATTTAGAGACAGGGTCTCACTGAATTGCTTAGCGCCTCACCATTGTTTGGATAGACTAACATTCTATCAAAGATCCCATCTCAGTGTCCAGTTGTCCCTTTATGACTGTTAGTGTCCCCATAGGTGTTGCCTCCTCCTCAAGGTATAAATGCGAGTCACCACCCTGAGTGCAAGTTAAATGTGTTTCTGAAGTTGACCTGAGTTTTGTGCTGGGATGTCTCTTCAGGGTGTTTTAAAATTTTATTGCTTACCTTGGTTGTAAGTTGCCTCATATATTTTTGATAATGAGGCAGGATATGTAAATAAAGCAAGTAAAATTGCTTTATGTAGCTGTGCCTAAGATCATAGGTCTTGAGCCTGACACATCCTCAGAAAAAGCTGCCTTTGCAGGTAAGGCATTTTCATTTGTATTTAAAATATGGGGCAACTAAAGCACAGACAGATTTATAAATTATGCTGAAGGTTTGCTGGTTGTGGGCTAACAGAAAGCCAGTCCAGGACTCCTGAATCTTTAGAATTTTCCCATTACTTAATTCTGTCTGATACTGTGATTCTTGCTCCAAAAGAGTCTGTCAATAATATGCATTCATTCACTCATTCAGTCGTTGATGAATATGTAGGTACTGTCCAATGGCAATTAGTGACAAGAATATTAAAAAAGAAGCATTTTCTAGAGTGACAATGACAATATTGATATCACATATACATTGAATTAAATTGTGGGAGGTTAGGGGACCATGGGATATCCTTCCTGTCCATGAGTTTTGCTTTTAAGGCAGTGTTGGGGATTGAACCCAGGACCTGGAGCATGACAGGCAAGTGCCAAACCCCTGCCCACATTAGTTTGCTTTAGTGTACAGTTCAGCGAATTGAGCACAGGGCTGTATTTCTCTGACTTTTAATTATTTTGTTCCTTGTGGTTCTATTGGAGACTCTCTGGTAGGTTTTCTATCTGGTTCTATCCACCAAAGTTTAAGGCTGTAAGAGCTCTTTTTAGGTTCAATGCAAAACCTCTGGCTGTCCCCTATGTCTAGAAGAATTATTAGCACCTCTCTGAGTTGAAAGGGATTGTCAGCCATTGTGTCTGCGAGTGAGAGTGGTAACTTTAGTTAGTTACTGGGGTTCTACATTGCTGATTCAGTGGTATGGTGAAAAGCTACATTAAATACACCTTGGTTTCTTGGAATGTTCTTGTATAGAGGGGAACGTCCTGACCATGATTAAATCACTTCTCTCTTCACCCTTTTTGAACCTGTATCCAGCCAGTTATAAAGCCTGTCGATTCACATCTTTTGGTAATGGTTGGCTAGAGGAAGGCTGTTCTTCTTGCTCAGAAACTGAATTTTCAATCTTTGTGGTACACCTTCGCCTGCTGACCTACTGAAATGAAAGACTAGCAGTGATGATTAAATCTAATTTTCCCTCCTGTAGTGGCAGGCTGAGCTGGGTCAGCAGGCTGGTCCTAGCAGATGGCTTTAAAGTACCTCTGTGATTTGATCTCCTTGCCGTCCCATCCATTTCTATAAGTGCCTATCACTGTCATCCTTTACCACCCTGACAAGATCCCAAGGTGAGAACAGCACAAATGAACAAGCTCAGCTGCAATGACTCCTGAGGGTGTTGCTTATTAAATGAGTTAGGCAATGAACCAGGTCTGGCTTGTAAACTACAAGGCAGGTTAGCACATTTACAAGAAGATGATTCCATCTATTATTTAACCTATTCAAGGACATTGGTGTTTCTTTGTATTTTAGCATAACTCATGCAAAATAATGTGAACTTACAAAGGTCTGAATTTTATTTTCATATTAGCTGAAAACTGCTTGAGTTCATTCTTTTGTTTGGATTCTAGATTACTTTTCAGAACAGTTAAAGTGTGTTTATGAAATGCACTTGTGCAGGGGATGGGGGAGAATACAGATTGCTGCACTGTGCACCTATTTTAGGAACTCTGTAAGATCTGTACATTAACCATGGTCCATTTCTGGTGCATCCTGAAATGCATTCTGCTCAGAGATGCTCATGCCAACTCAAAAAAATATTAGAAGTAAACTGATTTCACTGTATAAGTTGGTTTCATATTCTAATGACTAGCAACGTTACTTTTCCTTCACTACTAAATAATATGTATATGATTCATACCAAGAGGTAACATAGTTTGTTTCTTTTTCAGATTGGAGATATGAAGTTGCTCAGGCCTTCCCTGGAACAGCAGAGGAGGTGGAAGTGGACTCCCAGGCATACAGCCACAGGTGGAAAAGGAACCTGGACTCTCTCAAGGCAGTAGACACAAACCGAGCAAGCATGGGCCAAGACTCTCCAGAACCCAGGGGCTTCTCAGATCTGCTACTGGATGACGGGCAGGACAACACCACACAGATTGAGGTAGACAAGTTATCTGGGTAGTTGAGATGGATTAATGAATCTATTTGTTGTAATGTGCCCAACTTCTACTATATGTATGTCTTCCCTTCACTTCAATTTCAATCTTTTGGTCTTAAAGAACAATTCATTTTATTAATATAGTAACTAATCCACTAATTAATTCACTCAAGAAATAGACAAATGTGGACTTGGGGTTGTGACAGCACTGAAGGGACAACATAGTACCTGTTGTTTGGAAATTGATTGTGTTTAAGGGTCTAAAGACCATAACCAAATCATCCATGTCTCATAAGACGTTTACAAAAATGTGTACCCTGGTGTGCCAGGCAGGAAGGCAGAGTGAACCCCTCTTGAGCTTGAGGGTTAGAGCGATAACAAAGAGGTTTTACCAGGAATGGGTATTTAGGCAGGAGCTTAGCTGATTGATCAGAGTTTACTCAGTCAATAATTTGTTAATAGAAAGAAAGAAGGTTCCTAGTGGTGTGAATCACCTCTGCAATGGCTGAGTGTTGAAACAGCATAGCATGTTGGAGTCTTATGGGTGACGCAGTGTCACAGTTTGCCCAAGGATGTAGGAGTTTCTAGGAATCTAGGACTTCGAGTGCTAACAATGGGCTAGTTCTGGACAAACAGGGATGCTTGGCCACTCTGTGACTGTATGGTGTTCTATATGTTATTATGTTTGGAGCCATGAAGCAGCAAGAGGAAATTGGAGTGAGTTTTGGTAAGTATAAAATTTGCAGAGCACACATTTTTAGGCAGATTTTAGGGGCACTCAGAGGCCTCAAAGGTGGGGTTACATTTCGTGTTTCCAGAGTCATTAACATTTCGATCACAAACTATGATCTTGATTGTGAAATAGACACAACCAAAACAAATAAGTAAATCTCCTGGAAACAAAGACTACCCAAATGAGAACAGAGGCTCCTTTTTTGGTACAAAAGGTGTCAGCCACCTTCATTTTGCTTTTGCTGAAGACTCAAAGGATGGAAAGGAAGTGGAAAAATGGTGGGAAAAGGGAAGGCTTCAGGGATGCTCTGATTGGAGGGGTTTGGCATGGGAAGCTGCTGTGGTTGACTAATGCAGCATCTCTGGTGAACGGTTTGAGGGACATATTTGATTTCTGCAGTTGATTCTAACTTAGAAACTGGAACGTGAATAAAGAGAAGCTCTCAGTTATTAATCAAGTGCTGACCATTCAAATCTGACTACTAAGAAGGCTGTGGTTTGGCTTCTTGGAATGGTTGCTATAGCACTTGGGGTCATAGTTCCATGGTGATGCACAGTCTGGCCATTTTCTTCTCATATATTCTCTCTCCATCTGAATTTTTAGTTCCTGCTTTCTCTCAGATGACAAGCTTGTGATTTTAAAGAACGAGGCAACACTCTTTCCTCTGGAGTGCTGTCTCTGAATTGCTCATTATTTAGGAAAATAATTCAGTGTCATGGGACAGATACTATAGACCTGCAAATGGTACCAAGGTATCATTTTGTTCCATCACAGTGAGAGACTCTTCAGAAGATCTGAAGCACATACTGTTGGAATTCTGTACATGTGAGAAACCCAGTGATTTCTGAAACCCTCTGTGTGACCTCACCATGTGGCTATGGTGTTTCCTGTCTTCCCCAGCCACTTCCTTTAACCAGCAGCAGGCGATGCATAAGGAGCAGAAGTTGTGTAATTTTAGGGTCATAAGAGACTATGACTATGACTCCTACAGTGTGTCTGCTATTTTGGTAATAATGTTGTTTTAACAACTTGGAGTAGGCAACATCATCTACTCAGGCCACTCATTTGCTGGGGCTTAGCATAAAAAAAAAGGGAGAGTCTACCTGAAATAATCAGGCATGTACTCTGCCCAGGACAAGGACCTTACAAACTAAAGAGGGACAACACAGGTTCCTGGAACTCTGTGATCTCTCCTAATCACTAGTGTAATAGAAACTCCCTTTCCTCCCTTTTTTCTCACATCAAAATATAATCCCTTTATTATTATAACTGCAATTTGTTATTCCATCACTTTTGTTTTCTGTTTTCCACTTTAACAGAAGGAAATCACAAATGATCAGGAGTTTTGAATCAGTACAATGTAGGAGGAAGGATGGACAGGTAGCTCTTCTATGGATACTTAACTTGAAGCTGAAATCTGATGGATGTTCTATGGATGCTGTCTGTTTTGTTCATGATAACAACCTTGTGAGATGTGTGTCCCCAGGTTCCATGGGCAATAATAATGACTTTTTACACAGGGCATTTTCATATTTAGTTTTAGATGCTTTCTATTAATCATTAATGTGATTAGCATTCAAACCCAGGCTTGACAGGCTCCCACGATTTATCCTTCTAGGTACCTGAGCTTCCTCTACTAGGAGGAGAGACAATTGCAGTTGCATTCTGTAGTGGTTTTGGACAGGCAGCCCCTGCATAGCCACATGGGAGTAACCTTAGGGTTCCAATCTGCCTGGAAGGAATTGATCATGGAGCCACAGCTGCTCTTATAATAAGAGCACTGCCTACCCTTATATTGAAATTTATTTTGATGGGATTCTGGGTTTTGATGGAGATGATGGGGAATCTTCCTAAGTTGTTCCTAGGTACTGCTACTTGTTTTAGAAAAAAAAAATAATCTTTGTCTGAAACTTCTTTGGAAAGTTTTAGTTATCCTGATCCTTAAGTAGTATTTAGGATATATTAAAGATATGCTGATCCTGGAGTAGTCTGTTTGAACACTGATGTTACCCCTCTTGGGGAGAATTCTTTTGCCTAATCAAGTTAAATATTAATAATAAAAGGAATCCCTTGGCTAAAATTGACTACTCACAGGTAATTGTTGTGATAATATTTTTCTTATCTTTTAGAAATAAGTACTTTGGTTCATACTGCCAAATATAAGCAAGGTTCATGAAAGACTATGGGCATCTTTTGCTTTAGGTGCTTTCAAAGTCAAAGTCAAGAATCTGAATCATTTTGTCCAGCAGCCCTGTCTGTAGCTATTAAAATCATTTGTATCCCAGTGAAACTGAAACCACTAAGAAGGGCATTATTGAAAATGTTCTTCTCTTTTCTTCCATTGTCTAGACTTTATTTCCCATTTAAAAAAAATGAAAACAAACAAACAAAAAAAGATAATAGCATGTTTATCCTTTTGTTAAACATTCATTCCGAAATATACAAAGGCTGTTATTCTCTTTGATTTGGTGCTTGGTGATAGTATTTTTTCTGGCTCTGCATCAGAACAGATAATGGAAGGATTGTAAAACTGGCTATTCCGGTTAAAGAATTCTTTCAATTTAAGTTTTATTATTGTTTCTATTGTTTTCTTTTTAAATTTTCTTCCCATAAAGTTATAGTAGATATCAAAAACATTTTTGTATTTCCTCTTGACTTCAAGAACCCATCAATGATAGCTGTCACTATTGATCTTAATGTTGATTTCTGGTGGATCTTTATTCTTTTTTTTTAAACCAGGGATTAACCCAGAGTCAATTAATCACTGAATCATATCCCTAGCCCATTCTAATTTTAGAGACAGGGTCTCACTAAGTTGCTTAGGGCCTCACTAAGTTGCTAAGACTGGCCTTGAACTTGTGATTCTGCTGCCTTAACCTACTGATTGGCTGGGCTTATAGGCATGTACCACCTCACCCAGAGAGATCTTTATTCTTATGTATCCTCTACTCATGTAGCCAGGTAATCAATGAACCTTTGCTGATTTGTAGGAATTAAACTCAAGGTGTCAGAAAAAGCCAGTAAATGTGCAACTTTTTAGAATAATTTCAGAACTATAAAATTATTTCAGGTAAAGTTGAAATCCATTCATGATTTGGCCTTGTTTAAGCAGACTGCTGTGAATCCCATGATTCCAAGGATACAACCATAAACAAACAGTCTGGGGGACACCTGGTCACCTGGAAGCAGGCTGCTTTTCCTTTTCCCAGCAGGGAGCTCTTACAGCAATATCAGTGGTTCCTAGAATGGAGAGAGCCTTAGCAGTTGTTTGCTGAGAATTACAGGTGCTTCATAAAGTTCAGTTTCATCAGCCTATTCCTAAAGGATAATGTTGGTATCTTATAGTTCTTCCCTTTGTAGAAATCGATCACAAATTCCTTTCTGACACTCTGAAGCAAATACATAGTTTTTTCTAGTTAGTCACATGTAATATTGGAAACTGTCTTATGTCTTCCCTTGAGAATCTGGGTAAAACACAATGTCTCAGTTCTGCGCTAGAGGCTTCCTGACAGTCTGCATTTCTAACAAGTTCTCACTGATGACATCTCTGGCAGGGCCAAAGGCCACACTTTGAGTTGCAATGAGCTAGACCACAATGCAGAATTAGATATGAGTTTTGAAGATATAAATGGTATGAAAAATCTTTTTATTGTTTACCAACAGAATGCCTTATAGAATCCTCATGCTGGTATAAATAAATAAATAAATAAATAAATAATGGTAGGCATGGCCAGGAAAAAGGGGTGGGGGGGGGGGATAAAACATCATGGTGTCAAGCAATTGAAAAGGAGAAGAAATATGGCATAGGTTGATTCCCATGTGATGAAGAACCTGATCCTGTAGAGAGCCAGGATTAATGTAGGGAAAAGGTGTCATTTGTATGTGTCATCTTCCATGTGTGAATCCGAGTTCATATCTGAGGAAAGTACAAAGGAGAATGATCAGCAAATACATGTAATAGATTTAGCTAAAACTAGAGATCAAGAATTTTTCTCTTACATACAGATGTAAAACTCTTTGATCTTTTGCCATTGCACATGCTGCCAGTTGTGTGGGAATCTTATTGTTCCAAGTTGTACATTTCTTTTAAAATTACCAATTGTCAAGGGCTGCATACAGGTTATTGTATGAGCTCTAATTTTTTGTCTATGTCTAAAAGGTAATCTATTTAAGATGAAAGAAGTCATTGGAAAATGCTTAATCTAAATAATAATATGATTGCCCTTATGATTATTTTTAGGAAGAGGCAAATTTTATCATTTTGATATAG